ACACTTTGGCCGCAGACGCCATAGCCCCATATTAGAGCCCGTTTTTGAATGGTTTTGCACGGAAGCCAAAAGAAAAGAACCAACATTTAAGGGTTAGACATACCCACAAAACTTGTTCAATGGTCATAGGGGAGAGATGCAACCCTTTCAAAGTCTATGTTGTTCAACAATGCTTGCAAGATTATACCAGTTGCACCATTCAACCCAGTCCTTCAGCAGTGCCCACTTTCCTTTTCGTTTGCTGGCTTCCCTGGTACATCATGAGCAAGGTATACAGGCTTCCATATCCCTTACTTGTAGCATGCACATGCTTCTGTAGAGAGTCCACCATACTAAGCCGTACCGAATCGGTACGCATCCAAAGTGGGCACACTGACCATTTGACGATTGCTGTCTCTGACAAGTTCCAAAGCTAGAACCAAACCACAATGGTAGAAACTAGGTTTGGTTTTCTTTTTGTTTGCTTTGAACCAAGCTCCTACCCTGCTCATCGATTCGGTCGCATAGTTCGCTACCATGCAGACATGTTCGAAACCTAGGACGGCTCAGCGCCCGTGCATGTGTGTCAAGCAGCAGGGAGGCAGACTCGCGCGCAATTTGGATGCCTTTCTGTTAGAAGACAGCAAGAGCAGCGTAGCTCATGGGCCCACATATATGTATATATAGATCATACATAGTATACACATGCATATATATATATATATATATATATATATGCCTGTGCACATACAACATATGCCGAGTCGGAGCCATAGCACCGGAGGCCTAGAATCCTGATAGCGGCTGTTGGTGTGACCTGTATCCTTTTTTGTCGACATGGCAGTTTCTCAGAATGCTGGGCAACGAGTTAGTTGGTATGCAACGGGCACACTTTTGGGATACTCCAATTTTGAGAAACACCCATATGAGAGGTCTCCTCCAAACAAAAGATAAGCTAAGCTTGGGATAGAGTCAGACAGTAGATATTTTTCAGCACCTCAGATAATTATAGATGTCAGGTACCCCTTATATATTGATAGCTTGAGAATGTGAACCCTATTTGCTTTGCTTCCAAAGTCGGGCGCCCTGTCAGGTCCAAACCACGACCCCGAAGCACCAAACCAAGCCACCAACCTTAACCACCAAACCAAGCCGCCTCCACTATATAACCAGAAACCAAGCCACCAAACCAAGCCACCAAACCAAGCCACCAAACCACGCCACCAAACCAAACCACCAAACCAAACCACCAAACCAAACTGCCGACAAGGCAGAAAGTGACCAGATCTTGGCCAAGATATATTCTCGCCTCAGGAGATCTCTCGGGCGCACGAGGTGCTTACCGACCCGGCGCTGCGCGAGGCGGGGAGAAGCTCCGAGACCGGTTTTGCGCACTGGGCCCGTCCCAAATGGCGATGGCGTCTCACTTTTTGTGTTTTGGGGTGTCCTTCAAGTGACGAACTCTGCGATTTTGAGGATGCCACTTTTTGTGGACCCAGTATTGGGACGTGGGAGCTGACGTTTAAAGTCTGGAAACCAAATAGATACCCTCTTGTCTTTGAGTTTGAATGAGATCCACCAAACCGTCCCCAATTGAAACTACCCACACTTCTTCCTGGCAACAAGCCTGGAAACCCATACGCCCTTATGGATCTCTACAAAGACTTCTTGAGCAAGAGGCCCCACAATAATTGCCCACCTTGCAAACCAGTGCATCATTTCTCCGTTGGCCAGTTGGCCCGTGGCGGTGTTTTTCAGGGTTGGCTCTTCTTTGAATAACCCGCAAGCCCATGTGTAGGCAAGTCAGCGAGTGTTACTCGCTCTCGCGGCTCGCAGGTCTTCGACCGGGAGCGCGTGCAGCGGGCAACAGAGGAGCTCTAGCGCCCAACGACTGTTTTGTCCTTGTGGTCCAAAACACATTTGTTGGCTGGCCACTGCTATTTGATTTCCAGGAGGCAACAACAAAGTGATGGATTCGGTAGTTATACTTCTTTTTGGCCACTGAACGAATCAAGGATTTGTTTCTGGTCTTCGCTGCCACGAGGCAAGCAAGTTGCACACGACCCAATCGCCTCTCCGGAGGGAGGCCAGTTACATGAGACTATTAAACACGTCCTTGCTTGCTTGCTTGCTTGCTTGGCTGCCTGCCTGCCTGCCTTCCTGGCTGCTTGCCTGCCTGCCTGCGTGCCTGCCTGCCTGCCTGCCTGCCTGCCTGCTTGCTTGCTTGCTTGCTTGCTTGCTTGCTTGCTTGCTTGCTTGCTTGCTTGCTTGCTTGCTTGCTTGTGAGGATGGCTGTCAGGCTGTGAGGGTTTTACGATCGCCGTTGGCGGTTTCCAGGATTGATTCTCAGAATAGAAGCAGAGAACAAGTTGGGAAGTCCCTGCAATATCCAATCATAGGTGTCCTGTTTGGTTGATTTGGTTGAAACAAAGAGGGCCCTGGTTTACCGGCTGGTTCAATCAACTACCAGGGCCATCTATTTTCCCAAATAGGACACCTACGCATCCAACGGTTTCAGTGGTTGGGCAAAGAAAACCATGCAAGGAGCTCTCGCTGAGGGCGAGAAAGCTTCGTTTGAGGCGCCGGGAGCTTGTGGGAGCCGACCTGTTTGCAACACCCTTGCACCAGGACCCAATGGCTGGCAAATGGTCTGTGGAATGACCTCCCAATGGCTGGTTTGTGGTTCTTTGCCAGCCATTGGGGGGGTCCTGGAATTAAAAGGAAAAATGTTTGCCACCCCAAGCACATGCTTGGATGGCATTTCCGCAGATTCCAACCCCACGTGCTTGCGTGTTCTGACCGAAAAAGAAGGAGAACCCTCTAAAACAAGGAGCTTTGGGCGTCTAATTTTTCGTTTGCGCACCGAATGCCAGTGCCTTTACGACAGGCCTAGCACAGAGGTCGCCAAGGACCCGCGAGCGCGGGGGTTTCCGCTTTGTTGCTCCCGTGATGCGATGCAGAGGAACGTGGATTCTGGAAGTGTACGTTACTTGGGATGCCTGTCCAAGACCAATCATGATGCCGCACTTTACAACACGCTCCCCTAGCAACAACTGGTTGTCTCGTAGCTCACATTGTTTGAGCTCGAACAGTTTACATGTTGGAGGCATCAGATAGCGTTGCTTCTGCGATGGAACAAGACTAACTCTGCGTCTTGTCACATGGGTATGAATTGAATTGGGGACCCTTTGGAGGACAGCATGTAGATTGGGCGTTGTGTCCATCGACAACTTGTTGACGGGCTTCCTCATAAAGCACCATAGCCCCGACCTCGTTCTGGGCGTCAAAGCTATTTAGAGGGCCTGTACTCACCATCAAGAATCGGAAGTAGGCGGTAGCAAAAGGCCCGCAGCAAACACCGCCGTGATGTGACTTGAGTGAGGTATGCTTTGTTTTTTTGCGCAGACGCTTCTTGCCTGCTTAATTGAGGGTTTTCCTTTTCTGTTTGTTTTCGTTGTTGGTTTTGTTCAATATGCACGCTTTTTACCAGCAGGCTTAGCAGACTTTCGCCGCCCGTGTTCAGGCAGGCGCTTGTCTTGTTGCATTTCAGCTCAAAGGGCTTAGGTCAATTCAGGGATCTTGCAGGAAGATTGAATGAGCAATGGTCATTTCCCATAGCAAAGGGAAAGACATGGTCGCACTCACTCCCCAACAAGTCCCATGTCTGAATTTTGACACTTGCTCAAATGATGGCATGCTTCTGAAACAGTGCAAACAAACAGGCAAGGAAGGAAGATCACAAACGTCAAATTTCGCATCCAATAGAATGTTTGAACTTCACATGTGTTGTGCAGAACGCAGTCACTTCGTCCTTGGCTTGGCCTCTAGATTTGCCAATGACGGGTCACATCAACCCACGTCGTGCAATCATTCTTCGAACATATTGTTTTTTCAGCATAATTAGGTCAAGTTCAAGATCAACATGAACCTGTCATGCGGCTCTACGGCAGTGTGTGTCCAACCTGAATATCCCTTCAAATGCTCCCAACTCGATAAAACGAAGGCATGTTTGAGAGCTAGAAGTGTTTTGATGAAGTCCAAAGACCTGGACGTTTCGCAGATGTTCGGTACCTTACCATCCGCTCGCCGGATGTTTCTGGCATGCCAGGAGCTGGGGAGAGACTTGGAGCAGCTGGGGGGACGTGCGCGAGAGGTGGGCGGGGCCCGGTTGAGCCGTGCGCAGACCGGTCCTTAGACGTGGCTGGTCTGAGCAACGTCCAAAGCCTTCGTGCACGTGTTTAGGAAGAGTTGTGTCGTATCGACCTGTGCGTAAGAAACAATTCCACACGAGTAAGATGGCGCAAGCAACACTTCCTCATATGCAGCGTGAGCCAAAACATGGATTGCGCGAGGTAGCGTAAGCGGGGGCATGCAAAAATCGACGTTTAGGACTCCGGACATGGCTCAAATGGCTTGCCATGAAACCTACAAAAGGACTGGGTTCATGTGTTTGACTGTTTCTGGGATTTTCTGCAGGTTCTGCAGGTTAATAAGATCAGCTGAAATTGTGTACCTTGAACTTTGGTAAAAATGAGGCCAGCCAAAAATCATGGGATGAACCTCGCCCACTGCGCTGCCCATCCCTCCCCCTCGTTTTCTGAATAAACGGCCTTGTTGGGAGGTGTGTTGGTGGGAGCGGGGGTTGATTGTATGATAAACTTGTCGTTGGCATATATGTTTTGTTTGGACCAGCTTGCTCTGGCATCTTTTTTGTGTGGAAACCTAAGGCAAGAGTTTCTGGGATGGGTTTCCCGGACTCCCACATTAATAGGTACTCCCTGGTTGATTGTCCTCCGTTTGGGGAAACCTCTCCCAGCAATCCGCCTGGTTAATTCGGATCGATATTAATTTACGGTCCTTAAAAGATGTCTTTCCCCTCCTTTAGCTGGTACATCCATCTGAACCACGTTCAGCAGGTTGATTGGGAGGATGCCCCGAGTGAAACATGTGGTGGAGAGGACATTTGGCAGGGAGGGAGCCCCTGACTGGTTTGTCGGAATGCAACACATATTTCATATTTGGGCGAATCAGTTGGCTGCCTCACGAGAGGGTCAAACGACCTCACAATGACGAAGTAGAGAGGCCATTTGATATAAAGCGCACCAGGCTCAACAGAGGCGTTCCAGCCGGCAATGTGACAACCATAGCCATCCTAAAGTGGATGGTGCTTGGCTGCCTCGGTGTTCGTGGATGACCATTACCATTCGTTTTCTTGGGAGCCCACGTGCACAATGTTTAGCAGCTGCAAGCGCAATGAATTTTCGTTGATTTTTCTCGGTCGCCCACTCATGGTTGCTTTTGTTTCTGGCAGCTTTTCAGATAGTCCAGGCCCTCCAGGAGCCATGGGGTTTGGCCCCCCGTCGGCCCTCGGAAGGGCTTGGACATAAAGACACAGACACAGTGTCTTGGACGGAGACTTCTTTGGCTGCGTTTGGACTTGCAATCTGCTGGGGAAGGGGGGCACTCTGAAGACTTCAGGCGTTGCTCGCAGCAGTGGAGGCCTTGCGCCAGAAAGTGGCCGCGGCCCGAGTTTTCTCGACGACGCCTAGATTGAGAGAGAAGTGATCGCCCAGGGGAAACAGAGGTGTGACTTTGTTGAAAGGCAAACGCGAAAACACTTTCTTGCGGCCACAGTCGACACAAGCAGATGTTCTTTTGGTTCGGAACCGAGATGTAGGGTCTTGGCCCAGAGTTTGTACGAATCAGCAAGAGGCGGGTATTCGATTCATGTGGAGGCACGCAACTTTGAGAGCCTTTTTGGCTATGATTTTCCAAAACGCCTTCGAGGTCTTGGCAAAACTCCTCACGTACCAGCAACTTCTTTTTTGTGGAGGCGGATTTGTCTCAAAAATCTGCCAGTTCGCGGGTTCCGGCGGATGCCGTGCTGGTCTTGTTCCCTGGTAATTTTTTTGGGCATCCACCGTACCTCACCGGTCGCGATGCCTGGAAGCACCATGAAAATCGCCCCGAGACCATCTTTCTGAAGCGACCCCTTTGTACCTTTGGCACGGAAGATCGAGGGCACCTGGCTGAAGGACTTCGCACCATGGATCCCTTCCGCATGTCCAGAATCTCAAGTGCTGTCCAAAAAGCAGTGGTTGCGGGGTGGCAGAGAACGTTGGGTTTTTCCATTGCTTTCCAAGCCTCGAAAATGGCAGCCTCAAACCATGGTGGCTCGCCATCCGGTTCCTTAGCCTTTTGGCCTTTTTTTGGTGTTTAGTGGTAGTTTCCATTGAGCCCACTAAAAGTGAGTCCAACTTTTCGCGGGGGATCAGAACACGGGCAGCCCAGAACCCATGCCCCCAGTTTCTCCGAAGTCTTCGTCAGGCAGAGCTGGCCGCCAAGGAGCCCCAAGGCGATTTGCTCGCAGGCGTGTCATGGGGGGGGGGCAGAAGGCGTCCAGTGGGACCCGAAATCACTTCCTGGCCATAAATTAAAATCGACAACATTTTGGGATGCGCTCTTGGATAATTCTGTGTTTTGCAGGAAACCAAGGCTTGAGCTTTTCGCTACCCTAGCTTCAGGAACATTCAAGTGCAGATGTGAAGATTCTACCATTTTCCAAACACGGGCTTTGGGGCAATTGCAGGTCCAGGTGGCAGCGCTCCACTGAAGGCCCCCTACCTTGAAGTGTGTTGAACTGGCAGATTGCTTGGGGGATCAATCTGCCGGGACCCCCAGTGCCAGCTTTTTCCTTTCGTTGGGCTTGGTGCCCCTGTCGTGTCGCTGGTCAACAGGCAATGGAAAGTGAGAGTCCAGTGAAGCTCCCTTGAATATTGGCAGAAGGGATTGGAGGATCCGAACATTTGGGGATGTGCCAAATGCATCCAACAGCAGTGATCCTTTTTGAGATGTTGTAGAAGAAGCTCAAATTATTTGAAGCCTACAAGTGCAACAGTTCCTTTTGAAACAGCCATGAACCGTCGTCCCTGCTGTCTCACGGTCCTTGCAAAAGCTCCTGAGGTCAGCTGGATCAATCTTTCTTAGGCCAGGCTTGACACGGCGATGGGAGCTTTCGGAGCACGAACGCCACACTGCACTTTCGACCACGCCTCTAACGCAGACAAAAGTGTGCTGGGCTTTCGAGAGACGCTGGGAGTTTGGAGGGATTCCATTGCTTCAGTCCAATTTGTGCCCTCCCGCCAATGAACATGGAACCTGACAGGGGGTTCCCGGAAGACCATTGTTCCTTTGAAGGCGCCCTGTGGTTCCATGTTAGTTGGTGGGAGAAAAGGTTCCCCTCCTGCAGGTCGTTGTGCAAGTTTGGGACCTCCGGCAGCCGCAAGAACACTGCGAGGCGCAGCGCAGCCGGCAGCGCGGGCCATGGTCCGGAGATTAAACCGCGAATGGTCCAGAGCTTTTGTGGTGAAGAACTGAGGATTTGGTACTTTTCTCCTTGAAAGAAACTCACAAACGGATGGAAATGATGGGACATATTGCGGAACATGTTTATGCCCCGATGAACTGCGGAAGATGTGTTCCAGAACCTTTGGGTGGTTCCTCAGATGTTTCACTTTACTTAGGGACTGACCGCTGCCGCTGGGTGGTGTAGTTGTGGATCCATTTGGGATGTTTAAAAGGAACCCGAGGAGAACCCCATTGTGCAAACCTAAATTGATGCAACCCAAGAAACGTTCAAGGCTAGAGCGCCATGCCCCAAGTCGATCCTCGAAGTGTCTTGCTCCGAGGCAGTGACAAGGGTGCAAGGTGGCTTTGCGTTCCTGCTGCATTTGTGTCTTCTTTTTCTATAGGACTATCATTATCCTGTCTCTTTGTTGTTGTTCCTGTTCTTGTTCTTGTCTTCTTCCTTCTTCCTTCTTCTCCTTCTGCTTCCCAAATGGAAACTACTATCTTTGGATATCTTTGGAGTCAAACCTGACGAGCCCTGTTGGCACCTGGTTTGTGAGGCCAGACGCGACATTTGCTTTGTACATGTGCAAAGGGAGTCCACGAGACATCACCCTTCTTCCCATGTTAGGTTTATCAAGCCTTATCCGAACAAAAGCAGGTTGAAACGTCAATCCGCAAAAGCTCAACCCTTTGTCTGGTGTTGCAAGGCTTTGAATGCCCATTAGAGGCCTTTTGCAGCATTTTCTGGTGGGCTTCCCAGCTCGTGTTGACTCAATTCCTTCCGGGTTTGTCCAGCCTGAGCAGTTTTTAAGAACCCCCCCTTCCCCGATGTAATCCATTCTCCCGGGTTGTTATAAGCAGAACGCATCTCAGGGCCAGATTGGGCAAAGCTGGTTCTGAAGCACGGAAGCCATTCAGAGTTGATCTGACACAGTGGAGATCGGAATATGTGGTTTGATAACCCCAACCCCACCAACATGCACAGAGTTTCCAGTTCAGGATGTTTCCCGAAGTAGGTGCCTCCTTTGGGTGAGCTTTTCTTCTTGGACCGGCCTTGGGAACTTGCTCGGGATTTGAACGCCCCCCCCCCCCCATTTCTTGAGGTACGGGATCACAGAGAGAAATTAATTCACCCTCCGATCGGAACGCCGCGCCGAGGGCCCGCTGGGCTCCAACTTTCTCTGAGTGTCCGGGTTCCGGGGGAAGAGACGCTGAGCTGAGGGGTTCTTTTAAATGCGAATCGTTGCGCGTCCTCTATGCTTGACTGCGGTTGGTGTGCTTGTGCCTGCGATGTTTGCAACTTGCTCAAGCGCAGTTTCCTTTGAGCTGGGGACTCAGCTTTGCCCCATGGCCACCGTGCACAGAAAGGAGCTGATGTTCGCGTGCGGGAAAAGCAACTGGTAGCATCTCAGGTCATTGAAGCCGTTTCCAGCTACATGTTTTGCCTTCCAGAGTCCTCACAGCGTTGACGCGCGTGACAACAGAAACGAAGTCGGAACCTGGGGAAATCGCAAGTTGCGACTTTTGTACATAGGCGGGAGCCCCGCAACCGTGGCGCCCTCCAGTCAAGATGTCCTGCCGACTGGTGAAAAATTGGATGAAGGAGCCATCATTTGCTGAAGGTAATCACGTGTACACTCCTACATACATGTATTCACAATATATATATATATATATATAAAATCTTGACCCAGGATTAATAAACCCGTCACATTTTTAGGGGGGTGTTCCCTCCAAAAGTGATGAATCCCCGCTAAAAGGGGACACCCCCTATTAATCAACCAGGGGTTTATTAATCCGGGGTGAACATTACACATATTAATATACATACGCAGTACGTGTTTCTGCTGGTTTCAAAGGTACATGGTCAAGATCATTCAATATTCGTTCATGGTATCTGAAAGGAAGGACCCAAACCTCGGGTGACTGCACAGGGCGAAGTTTGTCCATGAGTTGTGCAACGCCCGCTCTTCTTTGCCGGTGGATGCCCTAAAAATTGCACGGGGAATTTATGAGGTTTCCCTTGTTCCCTACTTGCAAACGGGCATCCAGCGTGGGTTTGGAACAACGCATCCTATTTCAAAGATTCTGATGAATCATCAAGTCAACACGTGTGATGCTATGTGATGTGTTGCGGTCTGCACGTTTGCACCATGCATGTTCCTGAGAAAATTATGTGGCGTTTGGACAAAAACCCAACTTCCCACAACAACGCATGCCATTGTGACTTGCTCAAGTCTGGACTTCCAAAGGCCTCCCTTTTGAAACACAGAAACCCTGCTTTTGAGTCATTTGCTTAGCAAATGTGCGTGTGCGCCCAAAATCTTTCAGACCCCAGCCAGCAGTTGCCTTTGGGTGTCCATGTGAAAACCATGCTTTTAATGCGGTTCCCCAACTTGATTGGCCCCAGCACAAACACACGATGAATGAATGGAGGCCGGTCGTGTGTGTCCAAAACTGTGCATACCATTTCTTCCGTGCTCAGAGCTCAAGACACCCCACTGCTGATGACTGGCACGAGTTCGGCCACGCAAATCCGCGATCGGCGTACTCCGAGCTTTGCCGATGCAGTTTTACCCGGATGAAGCTACCTGATCTTCATCAGGGCATTGCAACCAATCTCGGTTCTCCAGGTCCGCGGATCAACACCAGTTCTAGAGGCTGTAACACAGTTTTCATGGCCTGGCCTCCGATGAGTGTGAGATACACTCCATTTTGGCAACCCTTTGTTACGTCGCTTCTGCAGACGAACCGCGACGTCGCTTGGACAAATCGAACTGGCGTCCAACTGAGACTAGGCGTTCGGGATCAGCTCATCGATGCAGCTGCGAGCTACTTTCCTCGCCGATGTGCGCTCACGTTCATCCATCGGGTACAATTGCATTCGTAATCCTCCACGCCTGCCATGCAAGCTCCGCGTACGTGGCGAGCTTGTATCGGCCAGAGTAATCTGTTTGGAGCTCTGTATTGCCCCTTCTACTTTAGTATTGCCAAGGCTGGCTCTCAGATTCCCAGTACTTACTTTAGTATTGCCCTGTAGTATTTCCAAGGCCCCCTCTCAGATTCCCAGTACCTACTTTAGTATTGCCCCTTCTACTTTAGTATTGCCAAGGCTGGCTCTCAGATTCCCAGTACTTACTTTAGTATTGTCCTGTAGTATTTCCAAGGCCCCCTCTCAGATTCCCAGTACTTACTTTAGTATTGCCCCCTTCTACTTTAGTATTGCCAAGGCTGGCTCTCAGATTCCCAGTACTTACTTTAGTATTGTCCTGTAGTATTTCCAAGGCCCCCTCTCAGATTCCCAGTACTTACTTTAGTATTGCCCCTTCTACTTTAGTATTGCCAAGGCTGGCTCTCACATTCCCAGTACTTACTTTAGTATTGTCCTGTAGTATTTCCAAGGCCCCCTCTCAGATCCCCAGTACTTACTTTAGTATTGCCCCTTCTACTTTAGTATTGCCAAGGCTGGCTCTCAGATTCCCAGTACTTACTTTAGTATTGTCCTGTAGTATTTCCAAGGCCCCCTCTCAGATCCCCAGTACTTACTTAAGTATTGCCCCCTTCTACTTTTGCGGCCAGCCCCTGAGGTTTGCCTGCGCCCCGAACCAACGCCCCGACACAAAAAACCCAAACCTAAACCCAAAAAACCAGAAATCTAAACCCTAAAATCCCTAAACCTCAACCCTAAAAACCAGAAACCTAAACCCTAAACACCCTAAACCCAAACCTTACAACCCTAAGCCTAACCCTACCCTGAAAACCCTAAACCTAAACCCTAAAAACCCTAAACCTAAACCCTAAAATCCTAAACCGAAACCCTAAAAAACCCCAAACCTGCTTGCAGAAACCTAAGCCCTAAAAACCTAAACTAAACCTAAACCCTAAAAACCCTAAACCTAAACCCTAAAACCCTAAACCGAAACCCTAAAAACCCCAAACCTGCTTGCAGAAACCTAAGCCCTAAAAACCCAAACCTAAACCCTAAAAACCCTAAACCTAAACCCTAAAAAACCCAGACCTTCCTGCTACCCACGCCTTGTGGTACCACGGCCCCACGTTCTGAAGAGAACGCAGACCACGTGTCAGGTATGGCTGCACGAGTTGTGCTACTTGAGTAGTAAAGGGTGCCATACTTGAACCACGTGCTGGACAAGGGTGGATTAGGGGGTGCCGGCAAACCACGGGGGCTGTGGGTACTTTTAGTTTTGCTAAGGCTGACTCTCAGATTCCAAGTACATACTTTAGTATTGAAAATTCTACTTTAGTATTGCCAAGGCCCGTTTTTCCAGGACCCCCCCCCCCAAAAGGTTGGACACTAAAGAGGACCCCAAAACAGTCACGTTAAAGCGGATCAGGTCCTTTTGTGGGCACCCCACTTTGTGCGAATGTTTGCCCTTTTTTTCTTTTGTGTAAAGAAGTTATCTTAAATTTGATGGTTTGCGGACGACTGGCAAAATGGTTTTTCTTTATCCAAGGCCTTTACCCGTTGAGCTGGGGAGAGCTTGGTTAGGTGAACCCCCCATGCAATGTAAATGGCTAAGGCTTTAATTTGAGAGTTTCGGCAACCCCCCAAAATAGTTGGACACTAAAGAGGACCCCAACACAGTCACAGTAAAGAGGATCAGGGCCTCTTGTGGGCACCCCCCTTTCTGCGAATGTTTGCCCTTGCTTTTTTGAAAAAAAACACGTTAAATTGAATTTGATGGTTGAGGAACCATTTCAAAAATGGAATTCCTAATGTTTGCCCGGATTTGTTTGCCAGACTTCTTTGGCGAGTTGTTTTTGCTCCGGATTTTTTCCGGTATTTCTTGTTTTTTCCCGGAAGCATTGCGAAGGGTTCTTCTTCTAAAAGCGGCTGCCAACTTCACCTGCCAACTTCTCATGCCAACTTGTCGAGAGTTACTTCACATGCCAACTTCTCATGCCAACTTGTCGAGAGTTACTTCACCTGCCAACTTCTCATGCCAACTTGTCGAGAGTTACTTCACCTGCCAACTTCTCATGAGTCGAGAGTTACTTCACCTGCCTACTTCTCATGTCAACTTTTTGAGAGTTACTTCACCTCACTTCTGCCAGACTTCACCTGCCAACTTCTCATGTCAACTTTTCGGCTGTTATCTCATTCTACTAAAAGCACAAGCTAATTTGTCGGACTTCTCATGTCAACTTTTCGGCTGTTATCTCATTCTACTAAAAGCACAAGCTAATTTGTCGGGTGTTACTTCACTATCCTAAAAACACAAGCTAACTTTTCTGTTCTACCTTCACTTCTCGACTCTTAATTCTTCTTCTTTTTCTGGCGGGGGTAGGCCCGACAGGAGCTTACGAAACGCACCCCTCTGCGGAGATCGTGCGTGTCGAAGCGCTCTCGCTGTGGCGCCGTGCGAATTTGTCTTGAGCCCGATGAACCCTCTGCGGAGATCGTGCGTGTCGAAGCGCTCTCGCTGTGGCGCCGTGCGAATTTGTCTTGAGCCGGCGAACCCTCTGCGGAGATCGTGCGTGTCGAAGCGCTCTCGCTGTGGCGCCGTGCGAATTTGTCTTGAGCGCGGCGAACCCTCTGCGGAGATCGTGCGTGTCGAAGCGCTCTCGCTGTGGCGCCGTGCGAATTTGTCTTGACCTTGGCGAACCCTCTGCGGAGATCGTGCGTGTCGAAGCGCTCTCGCTGTGGCGCCGTGCGAATTTGTCTTGACCGGCGAACCCTCTGCGGAGATCGTGCGTGTCGAAGCGCTCTCGCTGTGGCGCCGTGCGAATTTGTCTTGACCTTGGCGAACCCTCTGCGGAGATCGTGCGTGTCGAAGCGCTCTCGCTGTGGCGCCGTGCGAATTTGTCTTGAGCCCGGCGAACCCTCTGCGGAGATCGTGCGTGTCGAAGCGCTCTCGCTGTGGCGCCGTGCGAATTTGTCTTGACCTTGGCGAACCCTCTGCGGAGATCGTGCGTGTCGAAGCGCTCTCGCTGTGGCGCCGTGCGCATCTGTCTTGAGCCCGATGAACCCTCTGCGGAGATCGTGCGTGTCGAAGCGCTCTCGCTGTGGCGCCGTGCGATTTTCTTGCTCGCGAAACGGCTTTTGGAAGTTGTCTCGTGGTGTGCGCGCCTGCTTTCGCAATCCCGCGGTCCCGGGTTCGATTCCCCCCTGGTCCGCGGCAGCTCCGGCTTGAAAATCGCAGCTTTTAAGTACAAACGTAGTACGCGGAGCGTGCTCCTGCAGCTCCGGCTGGAAAATCGCAACTTTTAAGTACAGACGTAGTACGCGGAGGCTGCTGCAGCTCCGGCTGGAAAATCGCACTTTTTAAGTACAGACGTAGTACGCGGAGCGTGCTCCCGCAGCTCCGGCTGGAAAATCGCAACTTTTAGATACAAATGGCTGGAAAATCGCAACTGTAAATTGCAAATGTAGCACGCGGAGCGCCTCCGCCGCTCCAGCTTTTTGAGGGTTAATTACTTCACCTGCCAGTTTCTCATGCCGAAACTTCGAGAATTACTTCACCTGCCAGCTTCTCATGCCACCTTTTCGAGAGTTACTTCACCTGCCAACTTCTCGTGCCAACTTTTCGAGGAGTTACTTCACCTGCGAGCTTATCATGCCAACTTTTCGAGAGTTACTACACCTGCGAGCTTCTCATGCCAACTTTTCGAGAATTACTTTACCTGCCAACTTCTCATGCCAACTTTTCGAGAAATACTTTACCTGCCAACCTCTCGTGGCAACTTCACCTGCCAACTTTTCGAGAATTACTTCACCTGCCAACTTCTCATGCCAACTTTTCGAGAAATACTTTATCTGCCAACCTCTCGTGGCAACTTTTCGCAAAATTACTTCACCTGCCAGCTTCTCATGCCAACTTTTCGAGAGGTACTTCACCTGCCAACATCGCCTGCCAACTTTTCGAGAGTTACTTCGCCTGCCAACTTCTCGCGCCAACTTTTCGAGAATTACTTCGCCTGCCAACTTCTCATGCTAACTTTTCGAAAGTTACTTCACCTGCCGGCTTCTCACGCCAACTTTTCGAGAGTTACTTCACGCGCCATCTTCTCGTGCCAACTTTTCGAGAATTACTTCACCTGCCAGCTTCTCACGCCAACTTTTCGAGAGTTACTTCACCTGCCAACTTCTCATGCCAACTCTTTGAGAGTTATTTCACCTGCCAACTTCTCATGCCAACTTTTCTCTTGAGTTACTTCGCCTGCCAACTTCTCATGTCAACTTTGCGAGAATTACTTCACCCGCCAACTTTGCCAGCCAACTATTCGAGAGTTACTTAACCTGCCAGCTTCTCATGCCAACTTTTTGAGAATTGCTTCGCCTGCCAACTCCTCATGCTAACTTTGCGAGAGTTACCTCACCTGCATCAACTTGCCTCTATGCTTCCGGGCCACTCGTCGTCTAGTTTTTTTGGGGGGGGGGGAACTTGCCACAAGGCCCCAAAAGAGTCCACGATCCTGAATTAGGAAAAACACTTTACACAATGCAGGCTACTGGCATCAAAGCGTGTCCAACATTAGAAAGAGGCTTTGCTGTGCCGCTGTGCCATCCGGCAACAAAATGCCATGAGTCCAGCATGTGCCAAAACATTCCGCGAAAACAGTTGGCTTCCAGTTGGCCCACCATTTTAAGAGAACCGCCCGTATGAGTATTGTAGCTGACAAAGTCCGCGCCAACCCCCTGTATCGGTGTATCATTTCCCCCCCATTTCCGCGGTTGTTGGAGAAAGGTATCCAGAAAGGTATCCCGTTGTCTCTGGCTATGGGTGCATGTTAAGAGAACCCCCTCATTTCCATGGACGGTGCTCCGATGGCCGTGCCGGCTCTGCTTCTGCTCAAGTGACGGCCGTCGTCATGGCGCGGGAGTGCCCTCGAAGCACGGGCAGGCCGGGGGAAGGTGGGGGGTGGGGTACTGTCACCCCAAGGCGAGAGAAATACCCCAGTGGTTGACTTGGACACAGGGCCAAGTCTTGGCCTTTTAGAAATCACAACAAGTGGCAACATGTTGCCTTTTTCTAGACTTGTTTTTCCCAGACACGGTCATTTCTAGACCCCAGTCAAAAAGGTAGCCCGTAGCCCCCCCCACTGGGGCCAGGTTCTTTGTCTGTCATTTTTTGAGGGCACCACTGTCTCCAGACCGTTTTGCTTCCCCCGGTTGATATGAGAGTTTCTCTCTTGTTTCCTTGTGCCAGAGTGGGCAGAACTTCCTGTTTTGGAACATGATCAACCTTTGGGTTTTTCCAGCAGAGTTATCGTAGCGACATACGTCAAGATGATGCAGGTTAGTTCGCTGTTGCTTGACGAAAGGGCTCCCTAACGGGTCTTGAGGGTCCCATCCGCGATTGACCTATGTTCAGCATGTTCCTGGCAATGGCCATGGGGGCCCTCACAAGTACTCGTAGCGGCTTGGGCCATCAAACGCCAACTTCCGATCATTTTCGCCTCCCTCAATGTCTCAAAGATCGAGGCCCCGAACTAATGCTTTGCTCAAGCAAGTTTCAACTAACCCACGATTGCATAAGCCTTGATGTTTCTTGGATGCAATTTCCTGTCTTTGTGCAAGGACTACCAGCCATTTTGACTCAGCCTCATCAAGACTAGCCTCGCGTCGGGTGACCGCCCCGAAAACAAAGACGCGGAAGGAATTCGGTATTCTGACTCACTCGCAAATACATTCAGAAAGCCACTGGGGACGCTGTATCTTCGCCACCCGCCCCCAACCTGCTTGTTGCGCCCAGAAACGAAAAACAACATGGAGGTCACAAGTCAGTTTTTGAGTTGGAGAAACATGGCCCCCGAAAACCACTTGGATGGTTTTACTTTCAAGGGGTTCATTAAACGGCTTTCCAAGCTATGGCCATGCACTTGTCACTTGCTCTTTGGATCGAATCAGACATCCTGACACACCTCCGCTGACCAATCCCAGGCTTTGTTTGGTAGGGTCACGAGCTTCCCCATCGAAGTGCGGCCCCTCTTCAAGGACAGGCAGAGTGCGGAATCGATCCAGTCTTTCCATCAGGGCGCCCCAAGACAAAATGTGGCACACTAAAGGGATACCGCTCCGCTGATCAACCGGGAGACTCAATTCGAGGGTCGTTAAGATGCGCGCTGACTGTTTGTCAGGGAAGCGAGCCTCTCCCTTTCGTTTCGGAATTGTAAAATGCAGGCCTCAGGTCAATACCAAAGCGAATGATGCCATTAACAAGGCGTTCAGAAAAGGGATGTCGTTTGGTTGTCCGCAAACAACCATATAAGTTTGCAGGCGCCCTTTTGGGCCGCAGTCTTCTAGAAGGCTATGTTTGCGGGAAGGCAGTGATTGGGGTTTGGAGAGGAAGGATGGTTGCCCGGCCAGTCAAAGCTAGGGAGACGAGGCAAAGGAACCAGACAGGATTTCCTAGGCACCCTAGTGTCAGTGGGTAAGGCATCCAAAATAGAGATAAGGCAGGATGTGGGAGATAAGGACAGAGAGTGAACGATTTGGAGATGTGTAAATCTCTCCATCACCACCCAACACACCAAGTAATAACTAATAGATACAGGGCGGTGATGCGAATAGAATGAGAAGGGAGAGATGGCTGTTGGTCAGGACTCGAGAATTCGCGAGTGAACAGGATGGATGTGAAAGAGAGATGCCAATCCGAACCCCGACCCATTTGTTGCTGTTTGCCTGGTTCTTAGGGTTGGGTAGTGATTCTCATCTCTTCCTCTTCTGATCATTTCCCTTCTTTGATAGCTGTCAATGGGAAAATAGGAAACAGGGAGAGGTAAGAGATGGCTCATTCTCCGTTCCTTTTATCGCCTGCAAATGGTTGGTGGAACGGATAGAATGGTGGAGATAAGAAATGACTATGAGAGTGAAATAATGCAAGCCCAAGATGAAAGATAAGATATTATTTGGCTTGCAAATCAAGGGCTTTGTTGACAGGCGAAAGAATCCCATCCCTTTCACCCATCCGCCATTCTATGCTGTAGGTGAAAGCCTTGTCAAGCCTCTATCCCACACACAGCTACTTTCGGTTGAGATTCTAGAGTGGGATGAGGGATTCTCTTATATTCTAGTTACTTTTGCATTGGGAATGAGATCACTCTATTCAACACCAATTGAATCATCCAAGAATCGTATTTTTTTGTGGGTCTATCAAATGAGGGCGCGATTCAGGAGTCGGGCGTTGCGACATGGGGCTCTGCCAGTGCCGGGGAGCCTTCGATGCCTTCGATCAAGAGAGGGGGTGGGGGCGGGTAAAAAGGGGGGTGGGCCCTATCGGAGTTCCTTGGCTTTTGAATTACATGCAACACCTGTTCCAAAGGGCACCCCCCTTTTTAAGGCATTGTGTGTTTGCGTTTGCGCTTGCGCTTGCGCTTTTGCTTGCGCTTGCGCTTGCGCTTGCGCTTGTGTGTGTGTTTTTGATGGTTGGTTTAAACGGACAACAGGAAGCCAACCTTTAGGGGGTAGGTATGTATAGGTATGTCTTTCTGGAAGGGTACTAGAGTGGGGGGAAAGCAAGCAGACCCTGGTCCCTTCAAAACGGAAGCCCAGCACAAGCAGCATATATCAAAGGACACGTGGTCATATCGAACCGGAATGTGGGTAGCCCGCCCGCTGGCACCAGGAACCTATATGAAAACCCACGGGCGAATTCACCGATTTGGGGACTCCTCTCTTCGGACACAGGTCCTCTATTTATCTGCCGGGGTCGACATGCTGAAGTTGACACATTGCTTTTCGTGAAGCACAAAGAGCTTCAGATTCAGAATCGTATCGATCTTCATTTTGTTGTGGGTTTGTGTCATTGAGGCATCTCCCAAAGTGGCGGTGTTGACACAAACTTGTTCGTTGGCCGCCTTGTACATCTCTGGTCTGGTTTGCCTGTGGGTGACTTGCTGACACCAAGACAAATGTAGGACGCCAATGTTAGGTTGGGGCAGCAGACTTAATCTCATGCATACGTGTCGCAATGCGCACATAGATGCAGATCAATCCTGCATATTCCTATGACTAGTCTTCGCTGTCACCTGCAAGCCGCATGACTGTCAAATTTTGCAGCATTAGTTGCACAGGGGACGGGTGCAGGTTATGTGTCTTCGAGAAAGCGCTTGGAATTGGATTAGCCTTCATCGAGCGACTGTTTCTTCGGTCCTACAGCTGTTTACCGCAAAGATCCGGATTTTTCGCCCCCGAAACATGTTATGCATTCCCTGTCCTGTTTCGTTTTCAGGTGGTGAGATGGCTTTGGGAAAACTGTTTGCAATCCTGCCATGTTTTGTTGTTTCCAACATTACTTTGTACTCACAAATCAGAGAGGGCAATCAATGTCGTCTCGGCATATATCAGCCTCTCACAGGAGGTGACCCCACCGATCATGAAGTTTTCCTTTGAAGGTTGGCGAGCTGTTTTGTCGCTTTGTCATTCTATCACCGGCCATGGTAGGCCAGCCTTTCAACTCGCCGCCTTGGTTTGAATCTCAGTGTCTTGCTTTGGCATTTCCAAGCACACAATACATGGAACTGGAGAGCCTTTGGACGAACCCCAACCATCCGCAATCCTTGCAAGCCACCGCTGAATTCGGCCTTGCCCTTGGGCCCTAATCAGGGTCAATCCCTTCCGTGCGTTTTTGGTCCGCACTTCCCAATTTTTGAGCACGCACACCTGGCCCGCTGGCAGCTTCGCTTTGCTCAAGCCGCTTCCTGTTGTTGGATTGCGGCGCATCCAGTGTAAAGGCACGAGCCCAAAAGTCAGGAACCACAGGTAAGGTTGTCCGTCAGGTTTGTTTCAAAAACCGGGGGAACCGTGATTTGATCTCAAAACCAAGCAAATCGAGATTCCCCAATTTTGTTTGTCATAAGTCATGTCATGTTGGGGTATAGGGGGACTCTGGAAGGTCCCTTCTTTTCAATGCCAGTTGCCAAACTGCACACGTTGGGTGGGTGGTCGTTTCTCTCATCTTGGCAAAGGCGGCTTCCGGCTTTGTGTCTATTTTCTGGCCGGAATTGTCAGGCGGCCAAGGCAAACCGCTGGCCTCTCCGCGGAGGGGTGTGTTGCATGTCCGAAGGTATGGGCCTTTTCTATTGCATCAAGGAAGGCAAGGAAGCCGACGGCTTCCCGAGAATCCCCCTATGTTACAACAATGTTGGCAGGATCAAACGTCATGTGGAAAGCCTCAGCCATGTTTGAGTGGCGAGTTCCCAGCTTTGCTGCTTCCGACTGCATAGATACTTCACTCTCAGGGGCGCATTCTACCTCTGAGATATCCTCTAGGTCCCTGGGGCTGACCACCTCGCAAGATTTCTGAAGGGACGAAGTTTGAGGGTCAAACGCTTTGCACACATCACGTTTTAGCGGTCATAAAAGTTCAAACAACAGGGGGTGACCTAAGCCCCTCATGTATATGGAGCTTGCCCGCCCCAGATGGTTGTACGAGTTGTATGTTTGCAGGAACCCTTGGCTGAGTTGGGTGGTCGCTTTTATCATCCTGCCGTGGACTTAACGCACATTTCATACTTTGCGAGTGGCAGAAACTGAAACTCAAAAGAGACTGGACATATGGTTATGACGTTGAATGATGGATATTCAGTCTCTGCGTCCACCAAAGGTTCCCAACAAATAGCTGCACTTTTTCGGGGCCTAGCTCCAATGCGGAGTTGCTGACCACACCTCCAGGCTCGCGATGATGAAAGCTGCTCTGCGATGTGTGCGACCGCACGTGGAATTGCCTTTAGGCCCGCCGAAAAGGGGGGGCGAGTGGCCGGCAATTGGAGAATGACGCCGACCCTTCTCGCACTGCTTCTCCCTGCTTTCCTGTTCCCTTTCAGCCTGCAGAACTAGAAACTTTTGCCAGGGGGTCTAAGTCTGTTCCTTGAATTAGATCAATCTGGCAAATTATTTTCGGCATCCCTGACAAATTGCATACCTCCCATCAGTCAGGGGTTTATTAATACTGGGTTCCCCTTAGTCCTCGTTGGATTGTTTGTTCTTCACACTGAGAAACCCCGCTGACTATACAACCGGGTGATGACCAGCTGGTAGCTGACCATGCCACTACGCACATCTGAGTGTTTCCAGGAACTACATTGGATGCCACAACTAGGGCAGGGATAGGCAAGCCTGCCTTCAACCAGGGGATAGGAGATACTGAAAGGGAAAGCCGTGTTTATGCGGGGTGTGGGCCACCAAAATCGGATTGGGCGGGGGGGTGGGGGGGGGTGGGGGGTATGTCTTTGCCAAACCTTGTGGACGCCTAGCAAGTAGTATTCGCTGGGTTGGGCGAGGAAAATGGTCCGTCTTTGGTCGGGAGGTTGAGTAGCCGCTTGGGGGTTGGGAATATATCTATATATATATATATTATATTATATATAAATCTAAAAGGAGGATGGTGAAACCGTAGGTGTTCAAGTTCATGTTCAAGACGGGAGCACAGCCATTTGTCTTGTGGTCTATGGCCAAACCCTCTTGCCATCGGTTTCTGTGGGTTCTGAACGAGGCCGCTGAATGTTGGGATTCGGACAAGCAACACGCCGTTGAGGTCCAAAAGGGTGAGTTTGAGGAACAACGTAAATTCTTGAGCATGTCTATACAGGAAGTATATACATGTGCTTGTATGTGTCTGTGTCTATGCACATAAGCATAAACTCATAACCTATATCGGATTTTGTTGCAGCAAGCATGTCTGTCTTGGTCAACAGCTGCAGTGAACCCCTGCAAGCTTACCAGCCTCCACGCAAGACATGCCACTTGTTTGGTCTTTCTGGGATTCTTCGCCTGAAACGTGCAGGCGTTATTCCGGAGATGCTTTCTGAATCCTCTCGCTACAGCTCGGAGAGCTCAGTGACTCGTCCGAACCGCAGGATTCATATCGAGTTTTAACTGCTACAGTTGAACTTGTTGTCAAGGCCGGTTTCCTCATCATTTAGTCAAGGCCCAAGATTGAGCCAGCATGATTGGACCTCAGATAGCCAGGAGTGGGTCGGGGTGCCATTCCAGCCGGTCGGCACCATCGTCCAGTTACACCCGTTGACAGCACCCTGCACCAGTACCCCGTCGGCAACAGTGCCCAGTCGACAGAACCCTGTTAAAGAAACACCTGCGTCCAATCACGCCTGCCAACAGCACCTTGCACCAGCATTTTACACCAGCACCCCGACCCGGCACCAGCACCCTGCAGTTTCACCAGCGTCCAGTCACACAGCTGCAGTGGCAATGGCTGGCTGGTTGCACCCCGCCTTCTTGACTTGAAGTTAGAACCCCAACTTGAAAGGGCATGCATGTTCTTACGCTTCTGAGATAGGCCGATGATTCACCCTCGTATCCATGGTGTCACGCATTTGACAGCAAAGAGAGAAGCAAGTTGCCTGCCACATGGTTTGCTCAATAGATCGTACGCTTTTTTACCGCGCTTCGATTCCCGCGACGAGCAAGTATAGCAGAGTTGGATTCCTCCTGGGAAGTAATCTACTTCCAGAAGCGCCAATGAGTCTCTCCTCTGTGTTTTGGGAGTACAGATGGACTAGTCTTTCTGAACATGCGCAGACAACGCTATATTGCATCAAAGCTCCTGTGCTATTGTAGTTTCTTGAGCTTTCTCTCGGACCTTTCTAGTCTTTTCTCGTCCCGGAGCCCTAAATCGGCTTTGCTTTGGTCAATCGACGCCCCCAAATCCAACTTAACCTAACGCCCTCTCTTTACACTCGATTCAATCTTTGTGCTCCCCTTCCACTGCCACTCATCTATTTCGCCCGTAGCCACCAGAAGGAACCCATTGGACTCTGAAGATGCGCGTGGCAAACCAAGCATCCACAATTTCAACCGTGGTGAGATTGCACTTCACGATGTGACCTTGAATGTTAGCTTGTTTTGGAAATCCCCTGATGCAACTGTAATTGGGCGCGGTGGGACGTTTGCTGGTTTCGATTTTGTGGAGTATTTGTTAGTTCTTGTTTTGTATTGGCTCGCCCAGGGATCATTTGATTTAGAGGCTCCCTTTTATAGAAGCGACGCTCATGCCTCAAAAGGATGGACACATGAATGTGTGGTGTAGCTTGGCTGTAGCCAGCCGCCTGAGGGCCGGAGGGACAGCCGTAGTCCAAGGGCCGGGGGCTGGGGCTAGATGAAGCACCAATAACTGAGGGCAGGGCTTGAGGCCACTGCAGAGCCACAGCCCCGGGGCTGGGGCTGAGCGCGCGGAGTCTTAACATGCA